TCCCTGCCCCCTTCCCCCTACACTGCCCTCCTCTCCCTGCCCCCTTGAGCTCCCCTCTCTACCCCCTTACAATCCCCTTAGCTGCCCCCTTACAGCTGCCCTTTACAACTCCCCCCGCCCGCCTGCCCCACCACTCCCCCGTGACCCCTCAGAGGCAGCGGAGCCCAACTCACCTCCGTGCCCCGCACAGGATCCGTCCCGTCCCTCGGGCCGGCTAAAGGAGAAACTAGGCGGAACTCGCCACCCTCCCTTCCTCTACCTGGGGAGGTGGGCGGGGCTAATGGGAACGGGGCGGGGCTGCGCTGGGAGGAGGGGAAAGGCATGGCCAGGCTAATTGGGGCGGGCGGGACGTTGGTTGTTAAGGCACGTGGGGTGGAGAAAGTCTCTTCCCCTCCCCACAGACAGACAGACAGACCCACCCACCACTACTCCTCTCCCCCGGCAGGTCCCCAGGCCGCGCCCTGCCCTCAGCATGGAGGGAGGCGTCTCTGGTCTGGGAACAGCCGGTTCACTGGGCACAGAAAACGCTGTGGCAATTCCTCTCTCTCCCACGGGAGCGTTTCTCTCTTCGGCTCGGGCTCTGCCCCCAGCAATCCGTGGGAGTTAGGTGCCCCCAAGAGGGGCTGGGGCTTAACCTCTCTCTGCCTCCCTTTGCCCATAGGAGGCTAGCAGCATAGTGGTCATTACAAGCAAGGGGGTGAAGTTAAGAAATGGGAATTTTAGAGTGAATACCCGGAAAACCTTCCTGAGCGGGAGAGATTTCAATCGGGACGAGGGAGCCCGGGGGCTGTGTTACTGAAAGCTGGAACTGGACTAATTCACAGGAATAATCCTGCACTGAGAGCAGGAGGAGTTTATTCATAATTTGTTTCTGTCAGTAATATCGATCCTGTGAAAGGGGATAATAATCCTTAGGTTCTACCTCACCAGAGCATAATTAGGCTTAATTAGCTAATGTTTGTACAGGGCTTTGGAAGTACAAAGAGTGTCATAAGTGGGTAGTGTTACTTGTAAGGACAAAAGGCAGAGGGAGGGAATCATGAATACACACACACACACACACACACACCCCACCTACCTACCTACCTTCTGTAGTATCTATCCATGGCTCTAAGGAGTCAGTAACTCTCCAGCCCCAGGAAATACATTTTTCTTAACTTTGCCTCTGTGTTTTAAGTGGTCTGCATTAGCATTCACTGAATATATTATGATGTGCTATTTACTCACCTTGCCCCGGTGTCCTGAGGATGACTTGGTTACTGCTAGAATTGTGCCAATAAAAGAGCTAAGTATTATTTTACGTTACCTCTGTCTGCATCTTCAGGACCTTTATGTGGCTTTCACCCTCTCTTAGGAACGTCCCATGTTACTGCCTGATGGGAAAGGAGACCTGTCGAGGTTTGCTGCTCCATAGAACAGAGCGCAGTGTTGATGCTCTGGGCTGGGGAGACTGGAAGTGAATAGCAGAGACAGGGTAGGGTGGGGCTTATTGGAATAGCTGCTCATGTCCAGGCATGTTCAGTGGCAGCTAATGCAGAGCCACTTCGAGTATCATCAGATGTTTGATTGCATCAGGGCTTTGTTCCCTTGTAAGGTGGCCCTTCTTCCAAAATCAGCCTCAGATACTGGAGCCAAGTTTACTCTGGGAGCTGGATTATAGAGTAATTAGTGTTTGCTCTTGCAAAAATGGCTTAAAGAAGAGGATAAATTAAAGAGTAGGAAATATTCTGTGTATGGCATACAGGCTTATGGTTTTGGGGTTTGTTTGGGGTTGTTTTTTTTTTAATCCTAAATTTAAGCTGGTTCCGTTTCTAAAGATGAAGTTGGTTTCTAGCAGAAATCTTTCATTGTCGAGTTAAGATCCGTGTATGGGTTTTACTTGTGGCGCTCTTTGATTTGAGGAATCATTTCCCAGTTTTGCCGTACAACTTGTTGTTGTAAATAATTGACCCCATGCCACAGTTTGCACCTTGGCCTTAGACATAATTATTTTACTTATAGCTGTGCCTTAAGGCCCCAGCCAGGATCAGGGCTTCACTGTACTGTGGACATATACTTAGTGGGAGATAGTCCCTCCCCCAAAGCACTTACAGTTTAATTAGACACAACTGACAAAGAGGATTATTTCCCCATTTTACAGATGGTGAACTGAGAGAGGTTACACCTATGAACTGAACACAGGTCTTCTGGGTCCTGCATCAGTGCCTTAACCGCAGGACCAGCTGTAGGCACTGAAACTGTGAGGTTCATTCAGCCCAGACCAGTAATAGCTTGTCATCAGGGCCATTCAAAGGGCTGTGTGGAACAAGTTTGATGGTCTACATTCGCTAAGCAGTCTCAGCAGGGAGGCTGTGGGTCAAATGGGCCATGGAGAACAAACTCCACTTCCTCTCTTAGGGCTTGTAATGTCTATAGTTATTCCACTATAGCTATGACAGTCACTTTCCCTGTGTAGACAAGCCCTTAGGCTAAGTCTGTGATGCCATTATACCTGAGTCAGGGGGACTTGGTTACAAAGTGGTTAAAAGCTATAGTGTAAATGCGACCTACTGTAACTGGGATTGTCTGAAGCTTTAGCCCAGTTACAGGATACAGTTAGGCTTCATCTAGACTTCTAATCATAATGGGACCATGCAGGGAACCAAGAGGTCCCTGGTCCCTCTCCTGATCAGAGTGGTTATTTGGGGGAGAGGGGGATGCGAAGATCCCGCTGCTGCTGCTAATATTCTCATAACTGGGAAGAGCTGTAACCCGGCCCTGTTGGGGTGTGAAACTGAGCAGTGAAATCCTGATACCGAAAGCAACGCGGTTCAAGTGTACAGTATTCTCTCCATTCGTAACCAAGTGCGGGGGGAACAGACCCCTACACGGCAAGGCAAAATGATCCCAGGCACGGCCTCCAGCCACTGACTGTATAATAAACCACTCTAGGCAGAGCTGCAGGCTGGGATACGAAACGATCTGCAGGTGGGTATTGTGGGCCTGAGCTGCAAAGACTAAATGCAGCCTTTCCCCATGTGTGGGAGTGTTCAGACCAGCCTGTGGTGGGAACAGTCATTCTTCATGTGACTGCTCAGTGCGAACAAGGCTCGGGGAAGCCCTTTGTGCCAGCCCAGGCTGGGAGCTGGGGAACCAAAGGGACGGGCTGTTTGCGGCATCCTCACTAAAGAATCTACTTTACATTCATTCTGATTGAGTCCTGTCTCTTTTTTACTGTTAGAGATACTGCAGGGTCCACCGTAGGGGTAGGCACAAGGCTTGGATCTAAACAGACCTTTCCCAGAGGTTGGGGAGGAGGGTGTTCAGACTGGTGCCCATTTGCAGCAGGAAAGCAGGGAGAGTGTAATGGGGAACTATAGTAGGGCTGTGCAAGTCCTGTGTGCGATAGGGGCTGGGCAATAAAGAAGCATGATAAATACCCAGCCAAAGTCATAAACACGCTGCATTGAGGTGCCTGAGTGCTAATTATGTGGCTACCGTGGAGTGGTTAGTGCACCCAGCAGTGCAATGGGAAGGTGCCGCCGAGTATCTGAAAACAGCCCTTTGCAGCAACATAGTTAGATCGAAGTTCCATAAAGTGTCAGCTGGGCTGCAGGCCAAAGTAATTGCGGCTAAGCTGATCAGAAAATAGATGCTGGGAAAACACAAAGAGCCCTGTACCCAGGATGTACAGTGGAAGAGCTTTAATCTGAGTGGGGGTGACTGCACCATCACCCTAAAAAACCCACTCGATTGCCCACCGTGGATTTAACCGGCGGGACTCACTGCCACTAGATATCCTGGAGAAGGAGATTACCATGAATAATAATATCCACAGTTCCACTAGCTGGGACTGAAACCCTCCTGCTTCAAGATAGAATCCAACCACTAAGTGTTTGGGGAAGGAACTACTGCGGGGGCAGGCTAGTGTGTCGTTGTCTATTATAGGGTTCTCCCACCTACCTCTGAAGCATCTGGAATTGGCTGTTGTTGGAGTCAGGAGACCTGACCAGCTGGATGGTTGGCCTCATCCACTGTGGCAGGTCCTATGTTCCTACCGTGAGCACTCGGACTAGAGAGGGGGCTGTGCTGCAAAGGTCTCATGGGCTCTGAAATTCCCTCGAGGCTTGAGGGTGTTGTGGAGGGGGGGAGGTTTTGGTTCAGGTCCCTCTTCAATGAGTAATGAATGGGAGATTTTAGGAGGAGGGATAAAATCCAGTACTATTCCATGCTCACCGTGCCTGCTGCAGTTTCATATCAGGATTTTATGGGTTTTCGAACACTTCTCATGCTGCAGGTGGTCCTACGGGAAAGAAGATGCTCCGTTTTATTAGAGGGGACATCTGTTCAGAAGGGGTTGAGTAAGGATTTTCCCTCTCTCAGGAAGGGGAAAAAGGCTCTCACCTTCTAAATGTAGGTGCCCCATTTGCCAAGCCTTTCCAGGATGCTCTATTGCTCTGATTCCCAGGGCTGGACAGGAAGGCTAGGGTTGCTCAGAAGTCAGCAACGTATTTGAATGAGTGGAGTGACACATACAGGGGACACCACAGGTGTTTAGATACCACCACGCTGAGGGACATGGTGTTAGAACCTGGGTAGATAAATATTCCTGAGCCATGGCTGGCCACCGCAGGCAGAGGAAGATCATCCTGCCTGGAAGGGAGGGGAGCGAAACTTACTTTCTAAACATCTCTGGCAAGTGTTTCCTCTGATGGCCTATGATCCAATTATAAGACAGTGTCACCATCTACTGGGAGTGCTAGGTAATGCAGTCCCTGTACCATCCCTGCACAGGTTCTGGGATTAGTTAAGATTTAGTTCACTGATGTTTCATCAGTTCTTGGGGCTCAAAAAAAGAGTGTTTCATGCCAGTGCCAATACAGAGTTTTAAATAAAGGTGACATGGAGGAAGGATGGTAGCTATTTGCCTGAACTCTGAGATGGGCACCACAATCTCACACATCTAAGGGATAATTTTAACCATCCCACTAAGTTTCTCTTCAAGCTTTAACCTTTGTTCTGCCGGAGTCTGGTTAAAAACATAAACTCATAGCACACATTCCCATAGCAGTGGGTCAAATTCCCTCTTCTTCTGGATTATGAGAGTCATTATTACGGACATGATTATGAGATCAGATCAAGGCCCCACAAGGAGCACAGGTGGAACAAACCTTGTTGGCTGAGCACAGGCCCAGGAACCAGGAACTCTGGAATTCTAACCCCAGCTCAGGCAAATTTTCAAAGGTGGCTACTGATTCTGGGCC